AGTGCAGGCTTGACCTTGTGAGTGATACTGTGTGGAAAGTCCCCAATATGCTTCTTGTTTGGCCATGAACCCAGAGAAATTACAGTGCAGCAGAGGGGCAAGGCAAGAAAGGGGGCCAGTTGGCAACACCCACCCCTCCTTCTGGAAACAGAGATCTGGCCCCTTCCCAGGCCCCATATTTCTTCCCCATGCTCTCATCCAGACCAAGTATTCAGGGTCCTGGCCTCATTGTCTCTGGAGGCGAGAATGGACAGTCCTCTGCAAGCCCAGCCAGACCTGTTAGGGCTCTGGTGCTCTGTGTTCCCCAGCATCTCTTATGCCTGCATTGTGCTCAACCCTCATATCCCCACCTGAACTCAAAGTTGTCTTCCCTTCTTCCCTCTCCCTGCAGCTACCACAGGGACCATTCTTGTCCTTTATTCTCTCACAGCCCTGGCCTATGCCATGGGCCCCTGAGCCCAGGTGGAGCACTAGGCTTTGGATGGCTGGTAAAGAGCAGAGGCCCTGCCCCTCCTCACATGGTGTAGGAAACAGTCTCCATGAGGTTTATTCCTGTGCTCATCTTGTGTTTGTTGCCCTCCCTGCCTGGGCTGCGGTGAGCAGGTACCAAGATGGAGTAGATGTCCCTATCCTCTAGGGCTCAGTGTTTAACAGAAGAAGTAATTTAGTGGAGAAGCCACTATCCTCCACTGCTGGTGGTCAGTTGCCTGAAATTCCCTCCCTAGAGTTCTGTAGTGCCCTCTGCAGAGATCAAGAGAAGGTCAGAGCCATTCACCGTGACATGATGATACCTCAGAGAGCCAGAGATGAACTTGAGTGTTTCTAAACAAGCGTTGATGTACTCCTAGCACCTACCGCCAGTTCTGAAGTAGTAAATTCTTGAGTTTGTGCCCTTAATCAGGCTTTTAATTCTGATTTCATCCCTCTTGAGTGTAGAGGTTATGCCAGGGTTATGGGATAGGATGATCAAAGCTTCATCACTCAACAACATCCTGCATGAAGTCATAGATTCTGACCCTATCTTTTCTCAGCTCTTGGCTTTGCTGAGAATTGAGAATCATGGAGGTCTTGGTTCCAGCTCATCTCTTTGTCCCCAACCCTTTGTTACTGGACTTTGGTCAGCACTATGAACTCATGCTGCTCTGGGGCAAGTAAGAGCCTATGGGGGACCATGGGAAGGGCCTACTTCCCGTAAACTAGGATGTGTGTGTATTAACCTTGTTTTCCCACCTGATGCTGCTGTGACCTTTCTGGTCATTGCCTTCATTCTGCGCCTCATGTCTCCTTACTCTGTAGCTCTCCGCTCAACTCCCATCAGGCAGGGAGGATGTTCCTGTCCCAAGACCTCCGATCTTTGAGGATGCTTCAGGAAAACACCTGGAGGGTGTTGGCTCGGCAGGCCTGGGCCTTGTGCCTCCTCATCCTGGAAATCACATTGGTGGCTAGGCCCCCCATCCATCAGGCACAGCAGCAGCATAACCACTCTTGCTCCTTCCCATTCTGGCTTTTCTGCATCCTGTTAGCAGTGAATACATTGTGCTAAGTGCTGGGGTCCTATCAGAGGAAGGGAATCCTGGATTTATTAGGAATCAGTGAGGCAGGGACTCCCCACAGACCCCCTTACCACATTATAATGAAGTGATAGCGCTTCCTGTGCTTTCTCTGGCTATTGGCTCCTCTACAGTAGGTCAGAAGGTGGGAATGCAGGGATGCCACCTGAGAGATACAAGATGTCCATCTCATCCTGTCAGGCCAGCCTCTTTGTCTGTTTCCTGGTTCTGTCCTCTTGCCCACAAATAGCCCTGGTCCCTGGGTAAATACTAGGATACCACACTTGTTCTCTTTCTCTATTTCAAGCCCCATCTTTGTCCTCATGCTCTGTGCATCTAAGCTTGGCTTTCTCTGCCACCTCTCCCACTGTTTCAAGAGCAACTGCTTCACACATATGATCACCAACTTCAACGACTTTTCCCCCACCTGGGTTCACACACTGCTACTGAATTCTTAGGCCCTAAAAGCAAAACAAAACTTGCCATAGTAGCTTCCAGAATTCCTCTCCACTTCTGGTCCTGGCTCTCTGTATTGCCCCTTTCCTTGCCATGATCCTTTCCCAGCTCCTTATTCACCTCTCTCTTTGAATTGTGGGGAAACCTTTCTTCTCTTGATATAGAAAGTCATCCCTTATTAATGTCACCTTCTAGTTACTCCAGTGAAGTGTCTGTGCTTTTAACTAAGGCCAACCACTCGACTTGGGGACTCATTCCTATCCTGTACCATGACATTGCTCCAGCACTTCTCCCTTTGCTCTCTTGCATCATCAATTTATTCAATTCAACTGTATGTTTTCCATCAACATCCAACATGCTATATCTCCTATATTAAAAAAAAATCCTTGGTGCTGTTTCTTCATTTTTGTTGTTGTTGCACTTTTGTGGCACAAAACTCCTTGAAGCAGTTATCACCAATTGCTCTTCCATTCTCTCTTGAATCTACTCCAGTCATGCCTTCCCCTCCATCACCCACCTGAGTCTATTCTTTTCAAGGTCATGAATGATCTCTATGTTGTTAAATCTAATAATAAATTCCAAGTCCTCATTTTACTTGGTTGATTGGCAACTTTTCATGCAGATGCTCACTTTCTCTTTGCAAAGTTTTCCTCTCTTGGTTTCCATTATACCACACTCTCCTAGTTTTCCTCCCACCTCACGGGCTGTTACTACTCAGTCTCTACTTATTTTTCCTACTCCCCCCTCCATTTGTTAATGTTGGAGTGTTCCAGAGCCTGGTCCTTAGTTTCACATTTATAGCCATTCCCTTGTGATCTTATCCAGTCCCATTGTTTTACATCTATCTATCTCTCTATCTCTCTATCTATCTATCTATCTATCTATCTATCTATCTATCTATCTATCTATCATCTATCATCTATCTATCTATCTATCTATCTATCTATCTATCATCATCTATCTATCATCATCTATCTACCTACCTAGTGTCTATATTTAAGCAATCATCTATAACCAGGACCCTCCCTGAGGACCATTGGGCTTCCATGTTGAGAATAGGTTGTTGAAAGTATGGTTTCAGGAAGAAGCTGGAAGATTGTTATGCGACTGCAGTAATCATAGGAGCAGAGGGATTGAGAAGTGGTCATGTTATGAATTCATTTTGAAGGTAGACACAAAAGGGTTTACTGATGGATTGCATGTAGACTGTTAGGGGAAAATGTCAAGGCTGACAGCAATATTTTGTCTTGAAGAAGTGGAAAGATGGAGTTGCCATTAACTGATATAGTGAATGCTGTGATTGTAGCATGTTTTCCATGTGTGATTAGGTGATGGTGGTGGGTGGGGAATCAGGAGTTGTTTTTAATTTTGAAATAAATATTGGATATCTAAGTATGTATGTTGATTAGACAATTTTGGCATGTGACACTCTATCTCATGAGATCATGAGCTCCATTGTGCAACTCCTGTGTCATGTTCATTGTTGTGTTGCTATATGTAGTACTTTGCATATAGCAAGTACTCACATATTTCCATTGTTAAACCTAAGAGGCTTATGAAGGCCATTTATATTGTGATTCTTCTGGGGTCTTTAATAGCAGATTACTTTCTCTTAAGGCAGGATCCCCCATTTCATAGTGCTTATCATACTAACGTAATGATTTGTTTGCCTCCCTAGTCCAGACTTTCAATCCAAGTACTAATTAAGGTATTACTATGTGCCAGCCATTACCCCAAGCCCTGGGTATACAGACACTATTGTAATTATTCAGGTAAAGACGAATGAGGAACTGAACATGAGCTAAGGTAGTAAAAATAAAGAGGGGCAGGGTTGAGAGATATCAAGATTAGAACCCAGTGACTGACCATGTTTGGGGTGAGCAAAAACGTGGATATATAGTTATACCATTTCCTGATCTAGGGAAACAGTTTGGTGGAGTGTGGTGTGAGTGTTCAGATTTTGAATTAATTTGCATTGCCTTTGGACAAGGCTCAACTCACTACTCGTCAACACACTTTGGGCAAAAGACTTAATCTCAATGCTTGTTCACCTCTTTCTCCTAAAGCACTTGGCCTTGGGTTGGTTTCCGGGCAACAGGTTCCTTAAGAGTACAAATCAAATTGGCCTTGTTCCCTTAGGTGCCGTGGTCAGAACATGTCAGTTTCTGTCCCAAATACTCAAACCTCTGCTTGTCTATATGCTCCCTTCCCTGCCTCCCTCCCACTTGCCCTTGGGGGTGGGAAACAAGCCCTTCTCCATATCCTACAGTGATCTTCATTCCAGGACTCACTCATTCCATGCAGATGACAGGCAGTGGAGGTGGGATATAGGCAAGAGAGCCACAGCAGACTCCCAGATGAGTTCTTGAGAAAGCTCTAACCAATAACCAAGAGGGAGCAGAGATGGGGAAATTCTATCACTTGCTTTTGACAGTCTGCCACATTAGCTACATGCTTTTGATAAACACAAAGCACCTCCTCAAGGCTGGAGCATGTGGCACTTCTCTAAAAAGCTCCTCTCCAGATGTGGCCATAGATAGAAGTCAACAGTGAATTTTGCCTGTGGGACTCCCAGACACTTCTTCATGTCAGTACTATCCTCATGTCCCCATTGCTCCTCTGGGCCCAAGGATACCATGGGAAGCCATGATAGAATTCAAGCCTGACCTTTACCTTCAATGCACTTAGATGAGGGCCTTCCTTCTCTGCTCAAGTTCCTTCATCCACTGTCCCAGGTGGGGCTGGGAGGAGTCTGTGGAATGCTGAGCCCCCTTAAGTGTGGGTTAAAGCTGCTTCCCTAGGTAGGAAGGACATTTTAGCCTCCCTCATGCCTTCCCTTAACACACCACAGTGGAGGGAAGGAGCAGACAGACAACTCTTTGCTTAGAGATATAGACTGTATTTGGGTGGCACCTAACCCTACCTTCACATTAATGAAAAGGACAGTAGCTAGCCCTTCAAGGGTTGCAGACATGGAGGAGACTATAAAATCCTTCAACTGTTCTGGGTCTTCTTGAGCAGGACAGCATTTCCTTCTGAAGTGAGAGAGTTAGGGTGTGTTCCTGGTTGGGTGGCACAAACCACTTGACAGTGCCGAAGGCAGTGGCTGGGTTGACCCAAGCTTGAGGCAGAGTGGAGCTGATGGGAGCAGGAGCGGTGCCTGAGCTTATTGTGTGAGAAATGGGAGCTATCCAAGGCCAGGTCCACCTGCTTCTCACTAGGGGGAGATTGGGCTTTGGGGTCCTCCCTTGTCTTCTTCTCTATCTTAGTTTGCTCCATGGGACTTTTGGCTGGAGCCAACCTCTTTTCTACATTATCTTTTCTGGTGTTGACCACTTTTGCAGCCGTCGAAAACATGGAGTCTTTGTGCCCTTTGCCTTTTGCTTTGAGGTTTATGTACCGCAGAAGGGATTTCATCTTATTTCTCAAGCCCAATTCTGGAAGGCTGGGCTTCTTGTGAGTATGGGCTGGTAGCACCTGCCCCTGAAAAACCTGACCTTGCAAACTTTGACCCTGTACTAGCTTATGCTGAATGAGTTGGCCCAGGACAGGCTGACCCTGTGACCCCAGAGGCCCCACAGTCTGGGCACTCTTAGGAATCCTTGCTTGTTTGAGACAGACATTGAGCCTGGTTTGACTGTCTTGAAGGTCATTCTCCTTAGATTCTTTACCCCCAGGGTCTCCTGGAGAAAGCTCTGGGGGATTAAGCTGAGGGTGATGCTGGGAACTGCAGGGAGCATCAAGGTGAAAGCTATGTTTCCATTGCCAGGGACTTTGGGGTGTCCTGTTCAGGAGCATCCCATCTGGTCTCTGGGCTTCAACAGGATGGCTTTTTTCTCTTGTTGAGGAGAGTGTAAACCCTGCATCTCCTTCTCCACATTTTCCTGCAGATCTAGGTTTCCTTGGGCTCTCTTTCTTTTCAGCCAGCATGGAGACTTGGGCTGGGTCCTTGCTCTTGCCAGGGCTTTGGGACTCAGGGTTCTGCACCTCCTCCAGGCTGGAGTTCTTCACACTGGCTTCCAGCTGAACACAAAGCACTGGGCCCTCTGTCATGTCTCTACTGGGTTGTGACATCTTGGAGGAACTGTGGACAGAACCATGAGGTGCTACTCTGGAACTAGGCTGCTTTGGGTTCTGCTGCACTGCCTTTAACTCTGTGACCAGCTGTTCCTTAAGGTAGAGCCATTTTAGATTTGGGGCATGGGGAGTGTGTGGTGTGATAAGCAGTTCCTGGAGCAATGTTTTTCCTTGGTTGTTTAGACTCCCAAGAGACTCCTGTGTGGATATATCCTCTGGGATGGCTACAGTTTGTTCCCTGGACTCCCTTGCCTTTGTGGGAATTCCCCATTGTATCTCTAGGATCTTCCTTCTCAGATGGAAATTTAGTCTGGCCAAGATGGGTTTCTTGAATAAGTAGGGCCTAGCAGACTCTGTCTGGCTTTCTAGAGGCTCCATCTCAATCATTCCTTCCACCTGTGCTTCAGACTGAACCTCATCTGCAATTTCTGCACAAGCCTCATTGGTATCTTGAAAGCATGGCCCACGACTTAGACACTGCTCTTCAGGTGAAATCATCTGAGTCAGAGGTTGTGTTAAGGTTTTGACAGCCTCAGGAACCACGTCTGTGATTGTAGCTCCACTAGCAATTGCTGAGGACATGGCCTTGGGGGGAGCCATATACGAAAGAGGGGGGAGCCCTGATAAAAAGGCCAGATACTTGTGCCGTAAAGTTGTCTTCAGTTGATCCATGGTTTCCTTAGATAGGGCTTGGGGTAGTCCCAGTTGTTCAGTGACAGCATCTTCTGAGGTCTGTTGCTGCTGATCAGGGTCTATTGGCATCCAGGGCATAACCTTCTGTTGTAGGTCAGGGTGGGTTGCTGCCTGTAGCTCCGGGGACTTGGTTTCTGGGATGCAGGTGAAGGGAGCCACTGTGAGGCCCCCAGGAATTATGCACTCACAAGACCTATACACATGGACAGGGATCTTGCCTTCATGGATCTGCCCACATTTGGAATTGATGTGGCTCTGCAGTATTGCCTTGACCTGGTCAAATAAGTGTGGCATGAGGACTGACACTGTGTCCTTAAAGGGTGAGAAATGGTCACCAGCACCAGTGACTTCTGGAGCTGAGGGTTGGGAAACATTCACATTGGTTAGGGTTTTGCTGCTCCAGGACGGAGTCTGATGATGAGTGGGGGACAGGAGCAACTGGAAGGACTGCTGGATCATCTGGGGCAGGCCCCAGCGATGGTGAATCAACTGCCTCTGGAGGTGGAATTCCAGCAGCCTCCGGGCATGCTCNAAGATGGGTTTCTTGAATAAGTAGGGCCTAGCAGACTCTGTTTGGCTTTCTAGAGGCTCCATCTCAATCATTCCTTCCACCTGTGCTTCAGACTGAACCTCATCTGCAATTTCTGCACAAGCCTCATTGGTATCTTGAAAGCATGGCCCACGACTTAGACACTGCTCTTCAGGTGAGATCATCTGAGTCAGAGGTTCTGTTAAGATTTTGACAGCCTCAGGAACCACGTCTGTGATTGTAACTTTTGTAGTTGTTGATGGCACCATGGACTTGGAGAGAGCCACGTAATAAAGAGGAGGGAGCCCTGATAAAAAGGCCAGATACTTGTGCCGTAAAGTTGTCTCCAGTTTCTGAAGGACTTCCTTGGACAGGGCTTGGGGTAGCCCCGGCTGTTCAGTGACAGCATCTTCTGAGGTCTGTTGCTGCTGATCAGGGTCTATTGGCATCCAGGGCATAACCTTCTGTTGTAGGTCAGGGTGGGTTGTTGCCTGTAGCTCCAGGTGCTTGTTTTCTGGGATGCAGGTGAAGGGAGCCACTGTGAGGCCCCCAGGAATTATGCACTCACAAGACCTATACACATGGACAGGGACCTTGCCTTCATGGATCTGCCCACATTTGGAATTGATGTGGCTCTGCAGTATTGCCTTGACCTGGTCAAATAAGTGTGGCATGAGGACTGACACTGTGTCCTTAAAGGGTGAGAAATGGTCACCAGCACCAGTGACTTCTGGAGCTGAGGGTTGGGAAACATTCACATTGGTTAGGGTTTTGCTGCTCCAGGACGGAGTCTGATGATGAGTGGGGGACAGGAGCAACTGGAAGGACTGCTGGATCATCTGGGGCAGGCCCCAGCGATGGTGAATCAACTGCCTCTGGAGGTGGAATTCCAGCAGCCTCCGGGCATGCTCTGGCCAGAACAGTTCCCTTGTGAGGACAGGGATGGACTGCCCTGGCCAGGAAGTTTTCACTGTCTTAGGAGACTGTGCTTTGTGACAGGACTTATATTGCATGGGGCTCTGGGTGTGCTGAGTTCTCTGTAAAGCAACTGGCAAACCCCACTGACGCTGGAGCTGCCTCTGCAGCAGGTGCCACTCTAAGGCTTCACACTCAGCCAGAGTCAGAAATGGGACATTGATCTGAGCTTGTTGATGGCCAGATGGCATGACCCAATTTGGGGATGATGGGGAAGAGAGTGGGGCTGACTGGGGTGCAGTTTTAGGTTGCACGGGGAGGAAGGAGGGCTCCTTGAAGAGAAAAGGATCCTTCAAGGTTAGCTTGGACATGGTCCTGTTTGTCAAGTTATCTTGAGAGCCCAAGAAGGTGTCAGTCAGAGACTCACTGTGCAGAGAAGGGAGACCACAGAATAACTGGACATATTTCTGCTTTAAATGGCTCAGCGTGTCATTAGCTTGTTGCCCATGAAGTGAATAGAGGCCACTTAAGCCTTTGAGGGCTGGAGAAGGCAAGGCAAGAACCACATGGTTTGGGTTTTGCTGGTAGTGGTGTCTTTGTATTGGGTCTATAATGGACCATTCAGAGACCCAGAATGCCTGGGTAGCCTGGCCAGCCATACATGAACCCCAGGTCTGGTAGGAAATGGTTGCAAATTTCTCTACAGAGAATTCAGCAATGTCATTTTGGATGAAAGAAACTGGCTGCTTGTTTACAGGTTGGTAATATAATGGCAGGTTTGGCATAAGCTGCCTCAGGGACTCCTCTACCCGTCTGGGCAGCCCCCACCTCTGGAAATGCATCCATTTTTTTACATGTACCTCAAGAAGATGCAGGACTTCAGGACTGGAGAATGGCAGGTGGGTAGGGAGGATAGTGACCATAGGCAAGGCCATAGAATGTGTCAGGGCAGTGATTTCACGGTTCAGAGTCAGCAGAGGGTCTTGGGGATGCAAGTGCTGTTGACCTTGTTTCCGGTACACAAGGTTGAGGTTGTGTTGTATCCCCTCCTGCTTTTTCAGTGGAATCCTAGGCTCCTTGTACTGTGAAGAAGACATATTCTTATGCACCCTGGGCATACCTGGCACTTGAAATTTCTGTCCTAGCTGGACATTTTCAGCCAGGCAATGTTGCATACTCACTGAATTGGCTGATTTGCCAGCTGACCGTGTTACGGACTGGGTAAAGTATTTCTTAGCCGTTAATTGTGACATTGTGTGTGTTGCAGATGGAACTGAGAGCTCTTGAGAACATGTGGAATGATGCTCCAGACCCTGCTCAAAAGACGCATTGGACTTGGACAAAATCTCTTGGCAAAGGGAGCCTACTGACGCTCCCAGTGAAGTTGCAGAGGTCAGAGTGTTCTCACCCACCAGCAAGCGCTGGATCTCCAGAGCCATGGCATTGCAGATTTGGCAGCAGGTATCTGCACACAGGAGCCTCCGCACACTTCCCTCCTGAGGAAGCCAACTCTGGCTGGAAGAGGAAACATGGCAACTGTTAATGATAGAGTGACATCTGCCTCTCTGGAACTTGTGGCCTGAAGTTTGACCTTGCCCTCCCTAGTCCTGTACCCCCTGGGGTTTCCCCCTCCCCCTCCAGTGTTTACTCTACTTTTCTTCCTAGGAAATTGCCACTTGGCAAGTTATGGTGTGCTGGGCTGAGGGTCTGAGGCTGTTGGGCAAAGTCTCAGACAACCCATGGGAACACAGGGCCATGAGCGACTGGGAGGTGGGTGAGTTCTCTGCTGACCTGGGCTGAGAAGCTTAACCAGAGAAGGGAACAAAGGATGGGCAGCCAAGAGTTAGCTGATGGGGCATCTCCAGGGCCATTACCAGGTAGACCCTGAACTCAGTCTCATTTGGGACTAAGATTGCTACAGCCTGGTATTCAGAATTTCCAAGCTGTGGGAAATGAGGTCTTGTGGAAACTCTGCTTTCAGTGGACTGTGAGGTGTACACAATACCTCTTGGGAGCCAATCTCATCCTCTAGAGCTCTTAAGAAGAAAATGAGATGACAAGCTCCTGGCTGAAGGCTGTCCCAGGAACTGAGCTCCCTGAAGACAGAACTAGAGCATGTAATGTCAGCAAGGTCTAGGGGTCTGTCCTTGAAAGGGTGTAGCTGTAAGGAGAATATGACAATGATGACTTATTTATGCACATATTTATCCATTCTCTTTGTTGGATAACTGGTCTTTTGGCTGAGTACAAACCCATGTAGGATCTTTTATGAATTAAGCACTAGTCAAATTCTGAATTCCAGGAGCACTGCAAGTTTGGCCCAGAGTAGAACTGGGACACTTATTCTCCCTGAGATGTCTGAGTTCCCTTTGCCCTGGCAACCCTCTCACCCAGTGCTCCAACCTCCGCTGTGTCTGACTCCCTCCCAGTCATCATCCCTCTCCTCATCCCTGCCCAGGCCAAGCAGAGAAATCATCACAGTCCAGGCTGGAGTTGGGAGACTACAGGCAGCAAGTGATCACCTTTTCATGACAGAGAGCAGCTCCCATGGCTTCTCAGCTTCTTTGCAGGAATGTTTCCTAGCTGAGAAATCAGGCGACAGTGTTACATGGAATGAGAGAGGATTCAGGGACATCCTATAGGCAGCTGAAGGCCTTTCAATGAGAAGAGCCTGAAAGCCCCAACAGTCAGTGCTCTAGGGCATGTCTGGGTACAACTTAACCAGTTATGATGTGCTGTCCAGGACCAAATCTCATTAGATCCTCACACTGCACTGTGAGTGAGGCATGATCTTCAGATGCCCATTTGTTGGATAAAGGACAACAGATGAAGTGACTTCCACAGGGTCATAAAACTAGTAAATGGCACAGCTGAGGACCTGCTACTACTTCCTCACTCTTCATTCCTTGGGGTAAGGTGGAGGATTTTGGAACATTCCCAGGCTCTGATTTCCCACCCAAGGAAGTCTTCTGGGAGAATTTGTCACCTTGAGGAATTGGAACCTTTCGTGGTTTGAGCACCTGTTCCCAGCACCAGAGGTGAAAGGGAGACAAAATCCATGGAAACCCCGCCCACAGTGGAGGGGAGTCAGAGAAGAGACTGGGACTTTACCTCTTGATGCTGCATCTCCAGCGCTTTGCCTGAGTTCTTGTTGATACTTAGAGACAAAAAAGTTAGAGTATGAAGCTGGGACGACATCGTGTTCTTTTTCATGTTCATAATGAGACAAAACTACTAATTTCTGGAATCCTTTCTATGTATGTCTGTATTTAATACACTCCCTTATATTTCCTTCCCCTACTCCACCCTTTTCACCCCATTTCATTTCCTCACTCCAAGGCTCTCCACATTCCTTACTTGCTATCCCCTTTCCCAGGGCAAGTTCTTTAGGGGGTTAAGCATAACATAGGAGGGGTAGTGGAATAGATTAAATGATAGTGATTGGTTCTAATAGCCCTACTTTTGCTTACTAAGTCCACCAACCAGAAGAAACTCCCATATTGGGATGTCTTCTGAGATCCAGTGAGGTAGATCCCATTTCATCCAGGATCAGCCCAAGGGAGAAAGAGAGGTCCCTGATTTTTCAATTAGAATACACTACAGGGCTGGCTTGGTAAGAAATTACTTCAGGGCTCTGAGAAAAGTACCATATTAGAGTAACTGACTGTATGGTATAAAAATTGGTGAGAAAGGCAAGAAGGGACTCAGATCTTAAAAAGCTTCTTATCTAACAGTTAGTTCAATTGTGGTGTTGATGTTTCCCTACCAGGCAGCAGCTCCTTTTAGGTTCCAACCTTAATCTATGGTAACTCCTTTTCACTTGCCAGATAATTAAGATAATAATGAAGATGGTGCCATATGTATATAAGAAATATCCAACATTCCAAAGAACAAAAGTAAAGTTCAGCATGGTTTAAACCTCATTAGCATGAGGAGACCAGCCATCCCTATATCTAGGCGTTTAGGATCCTAGTGCCTAATGACCCCCAATGCTCCGCCTTGTCATCTCCGCCTCACAGAGGATGGAACCATGTCACCAGACAGCATCACAAAGACCTTCTGTTTCAAAAGGCAGGTGTAGTGTCAAAGACTTTTATTCCTTGGGGAAGCTTGTGAAGTGATTTAGTCTGTCGATGAGTGTGTCTGGTTGTGCGTAAAGGTTTCAGAGCCAGGGACTAACTGTGCCAGCTCACAGGCAGTGTCTATGCTCCCACTTTGTCTTCACTCTCCACACTCTACACCAGCCTGATGGCTTGGCTCTCTCCTTCATAACAACTGTCTGGTCACCCATCCCCAGAAAATTGAGTGTTTAGGGACACGGCACCTCTTGAGGAAGAGGGACAGAAGAATCTCCACTAACTCCCCCACCAGTACCGGAAATGTATGTGAGAAGTACACACGAGCTTAGGAAAAAAACATAGAGGAAACTTAAATGCACGTTACTAAGTGAAAGAAGTCACTCTGAAAAGGCTACATACTGTATGGTGCCAACTATAGACATTCTAGAAAAGGTAAAACTGGAAACAGTAAAAAGTTCAGTAGTTGTCAGGAGCTGGGGAGAGGGAACAATCAATAGAGCAAAGAATTTTTACATCAGTGAAAATGCTCTGTGTGATGCTATAGTGTGTGGGTACATGTCATTTTACATTTGTTCAAACCCATAGAATGTACACCACCAAGAGTGAACCCTTATATTAACTACAGACCCTAGGTTACGATGAATCCAAGTAGGTTCATCAATTTTAACAAATGTACCAGACTAGTGGCTGATGTTGATAATGGGGGAGGCTATGTGTATGAGAAGGGGGAACAGGAGATATATGAGAAATCTGTACTTTCAATTATGCTGTGAACCTAAAGCTGTCCTAAAGTTTATTACAATAAAAAATTTAAAGAGCAGCAGGCCACCAGCATCCTGGACTCAGCATATTCTGAACCTGTTCAGAGGCCTGTTGGGTCAGAGCAAAGCAAAGCAAAGCAAAGGGGTGAGGCATGGAATGTGAAAACGGGTGTATAAGAGGGGGCCAGAATCTGTTTCCTTTGAAATTCAGCAGTTTAGTAGTATGAAGAATGAATGGTGCAGTAATTCTACTGGGTGTCTTTCAAGCAGGGCCAACAATTTCACCGGACTGTCTAATATTCTAAGAGCCTTCCTTAAAGAAATGCTTTAGTATGGAAGAGATGGCTAGAATGGTATTCACAGTTGAAATGGCACCCTTTACAGTGTCAAGTTTATACTCTTCCTTGGTCAATAAGGATTGGCTCCTTGTATTAAACTCTTTTAAGTACTAAAACAAGATGTACATCTTAGTGTTGGGGAAGAACATTATGTGCAAGTCCAAAGCAATAATATATGGCATTAGTAGGCACTCTCTTGATAAAATTCTCCTAAGCTTAGGAAATTCATCCTTCACATAGCTGCTGTGAGAAATATCAGATTTTTTTTTTTTTTTAAATACAGTTTCCGAGAAATGTTTTCCCTTTTCTCTGGGGCTGCTAGACGGGGATGACATACTCCTGAAATTGTTTGCAGCCATTTTCCTACTCTCCCATCTTGGCAAAACCCAAGCTCAGTAGGAGTGATGTTAAAGGGAAAAATTACTCATGACAATTATTAAAGAATGGAAAGGCAGACTTTACTCAGGGGGCTATCGCAATAGGGATAGGAACCACTACAGTGGAGTTCTGCAGTAGGGGAGGGATTTGGGGCTCAACTCTGAATATAACAAGGAAAAGTGGGAATTTATAGCCTGGGAGATGGGGGGAGCAGTGGGTGGGAAAATGCTAAGAGGGAAAATCAGGGAAAAGAAGGGGGGCAGGGAATTCCTGCTAAACTAACCAAACAGGACTCTTGCTGAAGGCAGCAAGAATCAGACCACTAGGGGCATAATGGAAGATGAGGAATCCACCAAATATTGAGGATGATCAGATATTAAGGATAGGGGAGTCTGTTTAAAGTGACTTAGCAGGATTCTTGCTAAAACTGGACAATGCAAGGATGAACACAAAAGCCCCAAAGTCAGGGCTTAGTTGAAAGGAGACTTCCGAGGAGCCTGACAAGTTTGTTTGGTGAAGGAGAGTGAACGGGGTCACAGGGAGAAAATTAGATGCAGAACTGGAGGGAAATTAAATTGTTCGTGTATGTACTAAGCATATACTTGTGTATACACTAAGATTCTTGAACCAGCTATGTCCCTGGACTTGACTCCCATAGTCCTTGGGCTCCTCAGCCTCTAGGGCTGAGCCTAGAGGTGCAGGGGAGGGGCCTGGGGGGCGGGTGTGCTCGCGGCGCTTCTAGGGCTGCAGCCTGCTCGGGAGGGCCGTGGCTGTGGTCTCTCAGCCCCAGACCTGCCTCCTGCCCCCTGGCCGTGCGGGTAAGTGGTGAAGTTGGGCGGCAGGAACCCCGCAAGCATCTTCTGGGCCTCAGCTAATCCTCCGGAGGCTCTGAGGTGGGGGGCGCCCCCCAAGAGGGTCCCTGAGTGTATGGAGAGAGATTCCCACGACTTGCTCTGCATTTGCTGCCCTGGAAAGGGAATCCCATTGTGGAAGACCATTCGGCAACATAGAGGTGCTTCAGGAGTCTGCACAGTCGGGATGGACCCCCACAGAGGACCTCTGTATAAAGGAGGACCTTAGACTGTGCCCTAGAACTGTCTGGAAGGAACCTCTGTCTGGGAGAAGGGAATCCTGCTGTGGGATCCAGGCCAGGGGTAACTTCCCATATGCCCAGAGGACTTTGGCCTTCGCCTCCCTTCAGATTCAGTGTACACTAACTTGTGTGCCTCCAATGTGGTTGAGAGGCAGAAGGCCTTGAGGGGCTGCTGCCTTTGTTCATTGCTCCTCATGAGGACTTTTATCCTGGGTGGTAGCCCAGTTGGCTGCAAGCTGGATTTTAGTGGAGGCAGGAATTTCTGTAAGAGCATAGTGTGCAAAGAAGGAGAGGACCAGTGCTGCCTCTGAATCAAGGATAGGAGACTTGGAGTCCTGAGCTTGATCATCCAGAAGGAAGCAGCAAGGTAAGGTAGAATAATTGATGTTGGAAAGTCCTGGAAGAGAAAGTCCTTTGAAGGAAGGAAGAAAAGATGTGTAGGTTTATTGAGCACTGATGTGCATGGCACTATACTAGTTACTTTTAAACATAATTCTTACAACAGTCTTGTGAAATTAGCTTCTGAGGGATAATTAAACTGAGACTCAGATTAAATAAATGGAAAAGGTTTCAAAGGTTTGAATCATGAAATCTGTATTTCAGATTTTATTTGGGAAGAATATCAAAGAGAAGCAGAAGGGAGAATGTATATTTGCCTGCATTTAAGAGCTAAAACCATAAAACTCTTAGAAGAAAACAGGGAGAAATCTTCACGATCTCGGATTTGGTCATGGTTCTTAAGTATGACACCAAAAGCATAGACAACAAAAGAAAAAAATAGATAAATTGGACTTCATCAAACTTTAAGACTTAGGACACTATCAAGAGAGTGAAAAGACAACCCACAAATGAAGAAAGTATTTGCAAATCATATATCTGATAAGGGTTTTATATTCAGTATATATAAAGAACTCCTACAACTCAGCGACAACAACAAAAGCAATCCAATTCAAAAATGGGGAAAGGATGTGAATAGACATTTCTTTAAAGAAAGTATACAAATGGCAAACCAGCACACGAAAATATGCTCCCCATCATTAGTCATTAGGGAAACGCAAATCAAAATGTAGTCAAATCTCAGTTCTGGAACATCTCCCATCTCAAACAATTTGGTTCCCAACCAAGTTGTTCATGGGAAAATGTCTCAGTTGTCGAACAAAACTTTGGTTCTTGACCCAACAGCCTTTTCATGCAGATATCTGTATGATCAGTCATATGTCTCTCTGGCAACAAAGGAGAGAATATGCGAGCATGAGTCAGTTTACCAATAAACCTGGAGTTGTTAACATCTCAGAAAATTGTGCTGTACACAGTTTACAATAGCTAAGATCTGGAAACAGCCCAAGTACCCATCAGTAGATGAGTGGATAAAAAAACTGTGGCACATTTACACCATGGAATACTACACAGCTGTAAAGAAGAAGAATCTCGCACCCTTTGGGACAGTATGGATGGACCTGGAGAAAATTATGCTAAGTGAAATAAGCCAGGCAGAGAAAGACAAACATCACATGATCTCACTTATACATGGAATCTAAAGAACTTAATAAACTGATGAACAGAATAGATGCAATGGCATGGAAGCATAGATCAGACTGATGAATGTCAGAAGGATGGAGGAGGGCGGGTGGGTGGAGGGGGAGAGAGTAACCAAAGAATTTATATGCATATATGCACAACCCAAGGACACGGACAATGGTGGGGAGGGGGATGGGACAGGGTGGAACAGGTCATTGGAAAAAAAAAGGGACATCTGTAATATTTTAAACAAAAATAAAATTTAAAAATTTAAAAAGAAAATTGTGCTGTAAATATTTTCATGGGTTTTTTTTGCTGCTTATTATTATTAAGTACATACAGTAAGTCACCATGGGTCTTCAGAAGGTTAGTGATAACAGCAATGTGAAAAGGAGAGTTGTGAGAACAACCATAGAGCTTTAAAAAGAAATAATTGCAAAGTATGGTAGAGGTGTTCACAGGTCTGATCTGGCTACAGAGTCAATGATTAGCACAATTTTAAAACAGCAAGAGTGCTGATGTTGGAAAGAAACAAGATGGCAGCGTAGGTAGCAGCTGTACCTGCCGCCTCCCACAACCACATCAAAATTACAACTAAAATACAGAACCACAGTCACTCAGAGCCTCCTGAAATCTGGCTGAACAGAAGCCCTACAACCAGGGAACTGAAGAAGCACCAAGACCGGTAGGAGGGGCAGAGACGAGGGCGGATCGGGGCTGAATCCTTGAGACACAGCCGTGGGCCCACACCCAGTGCCTTGGTTTAAACCTGGGAGGGACATCTGGGGCAGAGGTTTCCCGGCCCCACACCAGGCCCCCAGCCCAGGGCTCCAGGGCAGGGAAGAGAAATCCCCACAACTCCGGGCTGTGAAACCAGCGGGGACTGTTGCTGAGGGTCGTGGAGGCTGCGGGAGCCCCAGGCTTTCCTCTTAGGGGCCCCGCACGGACTCACTCAGACACACTCTCTCTGAGCCCCAGCACCAGGCAGCAGCTTGAAAGGAACCTGGGACATTTGGGGAGGAACTAACTTGCCTGAAATCAGGGTTAGAGGTGGAGGGGCAGCTTTCTCCCAGGCAGAAGAGCTGGCAGAGGCCATTGCTCCTTTGGAGAGTCCACCCCACACACAGCCAGCAGGCAGGCACCACAATTGAATCACCAGCATCTGACTCACACCTTTGGCCCGCCCTGTGATTCCCGGAGGCCCCACCCCTCCCTACCTGCAGGCTCATCCAGGCCATTTCCAGTGGCTTTTCTATGCAAGTGGCCTCTCGAGCCTCATGCTTAGGACTTTCCTAAAATCTCTCAAACAAGCAGCAGCAGGCCCCAAACAGCTTGATAAGTCACCCCAGGCCTGGCACTGCTGGCAGCCTGCATTGGTTCATAGCTGGGCCTCTCCTGGACACCTCCAAGCCCAGCACAAGTAGCAGCCAACTACTTGTGCTAAGTAGCTCATGCTGGCTGGCCCTGGGCAAAGCACTGGCAGAGGCTGACTTTGCACCTCCTGGGAGGCCCCAGAGACAGTGCACCTGGTGGTCAGACTCGACCACGCTGGATTACAACCCTACCACATCCACGAGTGACACACTCAAGGGGCACACTTGGTG